ACTACATAATTTTTTATAATTTTTGTAATTTTCAGTGTAAAATATACGTAGTTAGTTTTAGTATTAACTATTATATAATAAAATAGCTAAAAATGTCTACAATTATTATTTGAATAATATAAAAACGTAACAGATTTTGTCATAATTACCCTAAAAAAAAAGTGGGAACCAATTTTTTTTTGCATTAAATTATTTGTCCCTCTTTATAGAATATAGAAAAAAAAAAATGAATTGTAACGTCTTTGGAAGTGAATATTATTGATGTTTTATTAATTGTTTTGCTAGCAATTATGTATATAGATAACAAGAAAAACAATACGCCGATATGAAATTTCTCATTCCTTATAATTTAATACTCAAGGTGAGTAAAAAAATAAATAAATTTAATACTCAATTCATATTCAAAATCTAACTCAACTTCATTATCTTCGATATTATCGATATAATTAAATAACATCAACCAATTATTCTTATACTCACATCAACTTTACTTTACTATTCATCCACTCACATAATTTAACTAATACTACTCCACATCAATTCTCTCATACTTTTATATCAAATCAAATTTAATTATTTTATTTTAATACTATTTTCAATTAACTATACAACTTTTTTCAAAATTAATTATGGTTAACCCAAAAAAACTTATATTGAGTGTATATATAAATATACAAACACACCCTTAGTTTTGTTCAATTGTCGTATTGCTTAACATTTATTTATTTATTTTGTCGACTGGAGATCTCACATTCACTCTACGACTTCACTACCCACTGCACCCCACCAACTTACTGTAAAAGGCCTATCACGCCTAAGGGATTCCGTGCAAAGGGGTGTGACTAATTCTCCCAGAAAAAGTGCAATGACTCACTCACACTCCACATAATAGTCAGAATCGATCTCGTGACTTCTAACTTCAAAGGGAGTTCCATCCTCCACTATTCTCACTTTACCTCTCACACTCTTCACGATAATCAGGATCAATCTCGTGACTTTTAACTTCAAAGAGAGTTCTATCATCCACTAGTCACCACTTGACCTCACACCCGGACTCGAGACGCTTACCATTTATTTAACTTTACATTTTTTTTAGTTAAGTGTTTTAAATTACAAATATTATATTGAATTTATTTATTTTTTTTTATTTTTTGAAAAAGCACGTACATGCCACCCCTAGTCATTAGTAAAAGATTGAAAAAATCAGTCATTCATAACCACTGATGAAGGATTCCTCGAAAAGCAAAAAATTAAAACGATTGGAAAAAACCAAGTTGAATGTGAATTTTATGGTCACATTTTATTTAATTGACCATATAATAATAAATTTTGTGAATCGCTATTCATCGCACGTGCTGCCTGAGCTAAACTGTTAAAGATCAAACTCACGCGCACCCTTTCATCGGCGCGTCCCTTTCTCTCTCTCTAGAAACCATGTCCTCCACCAGTCTCCTCCGCCTCTCTCTCTCCCCTCACAATTCAACTCTCCACCGCCGCCATGAACTACCTCCACTCTACCACCAACGACGTCGTCCGCCAATCCCACATTCGCCGAAATTGCGTGCATTCAGCAGGATATCCTCGAAAGCGGTCGGGTTTACATCCCCGGGGGAATTCCAGCTGCAGGAGAAGACAGCTCGGGAAGAGGCCGACACGACCGTGCTGCTCGAAGTGTCCGGGATGATGTGCGGGGCGTGCGTGGCGCGGGTCAAGTCGGTCATCTCCGCCGACGAGCGCGTTGACTCGGTCGTGGTCAACATGCTGACCGAGACCGCTGCGATCAAGCTGAAGGAAAGAGCCGGAGTAGACTTCTCCCGCGCGGCGGAGGAGCTAGCGGAGAGAGTGTCGGCGAGCGGATTCGGTGCGCGGCGGAGGGCGTCGGGGGAGGGGGTGGAGGCGAAGGTGCGGAAGTGGAGGGAGACGGTGGAGAAGAAGGATGCACTGCTCGTGAAAAGTAGAAACCGGGTGGCGTTTGCTTGGACTCTGGTTGCTCTGTGTTGCGGCTCTCACGCATCTCATATTTTGCATTCCGTGGGAATTCATGTCGGCCATGGTCAGAGTTTATCACATTCCCCCTTTTTCTTCAGCCTATTATCGAAACTCAAAAGGGTCACGTTCTGTGTCTGCTCCTTCAAATGTCTGCTACATTTGGCTGTAGCTTCAGGATTCAGTTGCTCCAAGGGCTTTTACTATCTTTTGCTTGTGCTTGGGATTTATTTATTTATTTTTAATATGAAGTACTGAATGGTGTTTATTTGCCAGTCCAAGAATTGAAGTGTGGGTACTAAGTTACTGTTATAATCTCTGTGTAGGATCAATCATGGATATTCTGCATAACTCATATGTGAAAGGTGGTTTGGCTTTGGGCTCTCTTTTGGGACCTGGACGAGGTTAGTCTGTGAGAGTAAGCTGGATTTTTTAGTTACATGGTGCTATCATTGTCTGTCAGTGCACTTGTTTTCCTAAAATAGTTACATTATGTTTTAGACCTGCTTTTTGATGGATTGAAGGCCTTCAGAAAGGGTTCGCCAAATATGAACTCTCTCGTTGGTTTTGGATCAATAGCTGCATTTGCAATAAGTGCGGTAAGAGTTAAGAACAAGTTAGACTTACTCTATCACTATGCTTCAAATGATTTATAGTTTTGCTGTTTATTTTTAGCCGTTGTTTCATCAATCAGTTCTCATTTTTGTTAGGTCTCGCTTCTCAACCCCGAACTTCAGTGGAATGCTGCCTTTTTTGATGAACCGGTATGGTCTTTTCTATAATTATGTCTGTAAATCTGATCAATTATTCAGAGTAATAATGACCTTCCATAGAAAACACAATTAACTTACGCTACTTTAGGTAATTTGTCATATTACTCATTATAATTAATTGCTTTTTAGCATGCAGGTCATGCTTCTTGGTTTTATCCTACTAGGGCGTTCACTTGAAGAAAGAGCTAGGATCAAGGCATCCAGTGACATGAATGAGCTGTTAGTAAGTTCTAATCGTCACCTCCACATCTCTTAGTTGAGCGTTTTCCTACTTCATGATGTGCCTATTATGTCTATGCATGGGTTGATGATAGTATTGTAACATGAAATTGCACTAACTCATGCAAAACCCTCCAAATCTACATGAATGGGCAATGTACAGACACACATAGGACGGGAAGTCCACATTTAGATAAAATATCAACTTCCACGAGACACACTGTCATCCCATTGAGTGGGTTTTGATAAATTTACAAGCTGCTAGGTTTGTTCCTCCATGACGACCAGTCAACAACATACCATTTGAACTTTTTGGGACCAAATGTGATGTTTATCCAAAAATAATATGTACTCTTGTCATTGTTATAGTAAGCTTGAACTGGTTTGTGTTACAGTCGCTTATATCAACTATATCAAGACTTGTAATTGCCCCGTCTGGGAGTGAGGTCTCCGAGGACAGTGTTCTATGTTCTGATGCAATGTGCATTGAAGTTCCTACGGATGACGTTCGAGTTGGTGATTCAATCTTGGTCTTACCTGGAGAAACAGTGCCTGTAGATGTAAGTTATTCTTCATTTGAAGTTAACTATCTGAAATTATTAAAAGTTAAATTTTATGGTGCCAGCACCTTCTGTTGTACCATTCTCTGCTTATGTTACTTCCATTTAAGCAGAGTTAATGTTATTCAATCCTTTTCATATCCGAGTACCTTTCATTTCTTCAAACATTAAAACCTGGGGATCTGAATTAAATGCTATATGGTATGAATAATGAGGATATCAGATCAGACCATTAACTGGACTTCCGAAATCAAATTTGTTGGATGAATGTTTTTATAAGAGATTTAAGGGATCACAAGTTCTTGGGACCAATTATTCATGAACTTATCCAAACTTTTTATTCTGCTATTCAGAGTATTGGCAGATAAATTTGTAGTTAGATTTTGATAATGCGTGGTACCAGTAATCCATTTCCTGCACGGTTGCTTGCCACTCCCTACCTCAAGAAAGAACAGTAACTAACTCCAAAAGAAAGGTCCTTCTGAAAGATAATTTTTAGCCACGGTCATTCTCTAGCGAGATTCCAGATTTTGTACTGAATGTTGGTGTATTATTACATAAATTTACATTTTACACATGTAAAATATGTTTATTTACTGGCTTGTCTATGCAGGGAAAGGTCCTCGCGGGTCGAAGTGTTGTGGATGAATCCATGCTTACTGGTGAATCTCTTCCCGTATTCAAGGAAAAGGGCAATTCTGTTTCAGCAGGAACAGTTAATTGGGTATGTGGCTACTCAGGGAAAAAAAAAAAAAAAAACACCACCTTTAGGTCCAGGTTTTAGAAGCTCCAGTTGCATTCTCATATTATCGTTTTGAAGCTACAAAACTTTCGTGTTATTTCCCTTGTAATTTTTGTTTTACAAGTAATTGCTTGTATCCGCTGAGAGAGCACTATTGCTGGAAAATGAATTTCCTCAACCTCTTCTTTGCTATATCAAACGTCTTCTGCATCTTATATGGTAAATCCTTCTATTTGTTTTTATTTTGTGCATGACTCTACTGCCTGATTCTTTCCATACCCTGGAGGTCCATCATATAGTAATTAAGACGTTATTCATTTGTTTTCTCGGGATACATCTTTGCATCAACATAGTAGCTAAATGACATTGTGTCATCTAGCCCTGCTGTAGATTTTACTAGAGTTTTTATCAAAACCTTGGCGAATATGGTTCTACAGTTAGACTGATGCTTTTATGGACTATTCCAGGATGGTCCTCTGAGGATAGAGGCCTCTTCAACCGGTTCAAATTCTACTATATCAAAGATTGTTAGCATGGTAAACCACCCCATGCCTCTTGTGCCATTTGCTCACCGATTGTTTCTACTACAGTATATTTATTGGCTTATAATTCTTGCTCTGGACTTCAACTTTCCTTTTTTATTGTTACTGAAGGTTGAGGATGCTCAGGGACGTGAAGCACCCATTCAAAGGCTTGCAGATTCAATAGCTGGGCCTTTTGTTTATAGTGTCATGACACTTTCAGCTGCCACATTTGCTTTTTGGTAGGTCTTTGCATATTCATTTTTATAAGATAATACTATGAATGTTTCCACTAAGGAGATCCCAACTGAGAGTGCTAATTTACATTCACTTAATATCAGTTATTCACCACTCTGATGAATACAAGTTGTCCTGTTTTCTAGTTGTCATGTGTTGATTCAGTTAAATTTATATATGCGTGTAGCCTGTCTTTATTTATACAAAACACATGTTTTGACAAATGCAACTTTTTTTACGTCAGGCAATATATCGGAACTCATATCTTCCCTGATGTGTTGCTTAATGATATAGCTGGGCCAGATGGAAATTCTCTTCTATTGAGCATGAAGCTCGCTGTGGATGTTTTGGTGGGTACTGAGTTTTTAGTAATATCTTGTTCGGCTATCAATTGTCAAATATTAGG